AAAATCCCCCCCCCCAAACAAGCAGGCATGCAAAAGACACAGACCCAATGAACAAATCCACAAGGGCCGTGACGAGGATTCGAACCTGCGTCGGAGAGCATCCCATACACTGCCTTGATCGACTGAACTACGACATGGTAAAAAAAAAATTGAAACCAGAAGTTCTACTGAACTTACTGGATCCTGCAGCCTCTCCGAGACACAAACCAGGGTTTTACACAACTCCTCCCCCCCCCCCCCCCATGCACTCGAGCTATATCAATAGACCGTTCTCTCTCTTTGCCCTTATCTTGAGGTTATCTTGAGATGATTTCGGGGCTTTTAGTATCCCCGCGGCCCGGTCCTCGACCAGGCCCCAGGAAGCAGCCCGTGACAGCTGACTAACACCCAGGTACCTAATTTACTGCTAGGTAACAGGGGCATAGGGTGAAAAAAACTCTGCCCAATGTTTCTCGCCGGCGCCTGGGATTGAACCCAGGACCACAGGATCACAAGTCCCGCGTGCTGTCCGCTCGGCCGACCTTACACTCCCTTACACACAGAAATCACAATTGCTGTAACGAATAACTTGGCGCAGACACAACGTCTGGAAGTGCAGGTGCCGCGGCCGCTCTCTGCGCAATCTCTGGTCATCAAGAGCGAGGCAGAGCTTATTGATTGAATTACAATTGCTCCCCAACATAAAACGACCAAGTTAATTATAAAAAAAACCAACATCACAGTAACGGGTTTCTTTTGATGTCGCGCCGCTCAAAGCTGGTCAAAGGCAGCTTTTTTTTGCCCAGCTTGGGCTTGTCTTTATACCGGACGGCCGGCTTTTTCCTTAATTTATACCTTTTTAAGGGGAGAGACATTTATGTAGAGAGAGAGAGAGGAAAATAAAAGGTGGTGAAGGTGGCTCTGATGTCCTTGTGGCTGTGTATTGACTATAGTTGTGCTTGCGGGACCGAGCTGTTAGCTCTTGGACCCCCCGCTTTTATCACACACACACACACACACACACACACACACACACACACACACACACACACACACACACACACACACATACACACACACACACACACACACACACACACACACACACACACACGAGACACACAAGCCTGGAAACCCACTTCGGCCAATCATCAGCCAGATACACCCACGTACAGACTGGCGAAGCGACTCAACGGCTTGCTGACTCCTTATGTACCTTGTGCTTTCAGCCTGAAGTCTCCAAAGGAATTCGTCGACTTACTGCGGGGAGCACGGGCCACAGGGATAAGAGCCTCTATGGATGTAGAGTCACTGTTTACTAACGTACCTGTGGATGAAACAATCGGGATGATTCCGGACAGAATGTATCGTGATCCGGTCTGTACTCCTCTTCACACACCAGAAAACATACTTAGAAAGCTACTCCAAACCTGCACTAAAGAGGCGCCTGTCTTGGGTCCAAATGGGCACATGTATAAGCAAGTAGATGGGGTCGCCATGGGTTCTCCCCTAGGTGTCCTGTTTGCGAACTTCTACATGGGTACCAATGAGCAGAAGGTCTTAGTTGGCATCGACTTGAAACCGGCCATATACTGCAGGTATGTTGACGACATTTTTATGCAGGTACCTGATGTCAGACATCTGCAGGAGCTGAAGGAGGCATTCGAGTAGAATTCTGTGTTGCGTTTCACTTACGCAACACATGTATATATATATATATATATATATATATATATATATATATATATATATATATATATATATATATATATATATATATATATATATATATATATAGTTAGTCGTCATAGTAGTCAGTCCTCCCCCGTGTGTTACCACTGAACCACAGGGACTGCTATAAGCCGCGGGCTTCCTGTCCCGGTCGAGGCCACTAGAGCAGGCTTATGATAATTGAGGTAAAATCCAGGTGTTAAAAAAAATCCAACTCAAGCTTAGGAATAATGACAGACTTTAAGGAAAAGAAATCTAATTGGAAGAGATTATCACGGCAAATGAGGGGGAGAGGACCTTCGACAAGCCGCTGGCTTCCTGTCCTCGTCGCTCGGGCCCCCCCTAGTGTTAGTGGCCCTCAGGTAAATTTGTTACCCATGGATATTGTGCATTAAAAATTATTTTAGCTACCCCTGACTATTGAAAGTTTTCTTATAATGCTTTAACGTTTTCTTTCATAATATTTTAGGGAAACTACTATATATGTTAACGCGTTAATTCCTTGTCGTTAGAAACTGTAATGCATTCGTTTTTATTCTTTTCCTTTTCTTATTATTATTATTATTCCTTATTATAAGTATTATTATTATTAATTATGAACCCGACTTCGTTTATATTGCCGTGGTCACAACGCCACCACGGTCACCACTGCCCTGGTGACTCTCTATTACTCTCTCGTCTATCCTTACCTCAACTATGGTATTTGTGCTTGGGGTTCTACTACCCAAAATCATTTACGCCCTCTAATTACTCAACACAAAGCTGCCATTAGGACAATATTCAACTCTGGCCCCAGACATCACTCGGTACCCTTACTCAAATCTCTGAATATGTTAGACATTAAGTCACTGCACATCCTCTCATGTGTACTCTATATATTTAAAACTCTGAATTGTAATGTCAATGCTGAGCTTTAAAGGCTCTTAGAAGGTTGTAACAGAACCCATGAGCACCACACCAGAAACAAATACCTATTTGCTATTCCAAGAGTACGACTTAATCAAACTAGAAATGCTCTACAAATCAAGGGACCCAGAGTGTGGAATGACCTTCCCAATCATGTCAAAGACTGTACCTCTCTCAACCAGTTTAAGATAAAAACTAAGTACTACCTAATAAATTCCCTGTAACCTAACTTACCCCTAAATCATTTGTCAACCAAATGTCTTGTCTGTCTGTCCAAATGTCTAAATGTCAACCCATGTCTTACTGTTTTAAACAATGCTGTTTGTTGACCAACTTGTATAATGGCTAATTTCTGCCATGTTCCCCCTTTTTTATTTTTTTATTTTGACTCAATTTATACTTTAAGTTCAATTACTATTAAGTTTTAGTCGAAGTGACCCCCCCCCCCCCCCAACCTTGTTCGAAACGCTATACAATACAATACAATTTTATTTAGGTAAGGTACATACATACAATAAATATTTACAAGGATTGTTTGACTTATAGGTAGAGCTAGTACATACAATGCCTAAAGCCACTATTACGCAAAGCGTTTCGGGCATCCTAAAGCCACTATTACGCAAAGCGTTTCGTGCATCACCACTATGCGTAATAGTGGCTTTAGCTAGTGTATGTACTAGCTCTATCTATAAATCCAGCATTAGGTTTGTAACTCAACTATGTATGTAGTTTTCCTGAATAAAAAAAAATATATTTATTTATTTTATTCAAATTGTGGCCAGTCACTTGGGCTATATTTAAAATATACTTGTTTGCCATAAAGTATCGTAAAGTATCGTTTTCTTTATTTACCGTGAGCATATGTGAAAGAAAACGAAAAATAATATTGGGGTAACTTATGCTAAATGAACACAATACTTGTGCTTCTTTTTGTTGGGACAGGAAACCAGTGTATATATATATATATATCATAGGCTTGTATCGCTGTCCCCATTACCCACCAGAAGGTCAAACCACTGACCCTCCCCCAGGATATAACCCCACAACTGTCTAAATATCTATATTCCGGGTACATGATGATTATTAGGTGAACAGAGGCAATAGGTGAAAGCAAGTTTGCATTAGAGCTTCTCGTGGCAATCTTGGACCACACATCCGCCCCCCCCCCTTCTTCTTCTCTCAGGAGAACAAGCAAAGGAATTGGAACTGGCTCCAAGAAGAGTTTGTTGGGTTCAGTTCCGCAATATCAAACTCCAATACGACAAGGAGGATTCAACTTCATGTTACTGGAAAACAGAAGAGTTTGGAGGAGACATGATTACCACGTACAAAATTATCGGGGGGATTGATTTGATTATGTAGTTGAAAAGGTAGGAAACTGAGTACTCATATGAGCCGCAGAGACATTAGAAACATTTTTCCTCAGTATCAGAGTAGTTAACAAGCGGAATTAACACACTAGGAAGAGATGTGGTGATCGAGCCCAATAGGCTCAGCGAACCTGTGCATCAATTGAGAGGCAGATCCAAAGAGCTAAAGCACAACCTCCGCAAACACACACAAAGATGTCTCACCAATTGCACACAGAAATCACAATAGCGTTCATCAAATGAACAAATCCTCTCGGACTTAGGTTCGAGCCCTCGTCACGGCCCTTGTGGATTTCTTCACGACTTACCAAGTATGTCTCAAGCAAGATTGACCCATAAGACAGCGCCAGACAGCGAAAGTACAAATATTATACCCCAAAATATGCTATGCCATGGGGAGCCGGTCGGCCGAGCGGACAGCACGCTGGACTTGTGATCCTGTGGTTCTGGGTTCGATCCCGGGCGCCGGAGAGAAACAATGGGCAGAGTTTCTTTCACCTGGGTGAAAGAAACCTGGGTGTTAGTCAGCTGTCACGGGCTGCTTCCTGGGGGTGGAGGCCTGGTCGAGGACCGGGCCGCGGGGACACTAAAGCCCCGAAATCATCTCAAGATAACCTCAAGAAGGGAAATAAAATGGTAGCATTATTTACCCATTTTCTCTTATATTTTCTCTTAACCCATTTTCTCTTATATTTTCTCTTAACCCATTTTCTCTTATATTTTCTCTTAACCCATTTTCTCTTATATTTTCTCTTAACCCATTTTCTTTTATATATATTTTCTCTTAATCTATTTTCTTATGAACCCATTCTCTTTTACCCATTTTTTTACCCATTTTCTCCTTTAACCATAATCTGTTCACCCCATTATCTTTTTTTGACAATTTTTGTTCTTACAAAATAAGTTCGTTCAGGTATACTGTAACACAAGTACAGTAGAGATACAGTAATGAACTTTAAAGATGCTTAGTCAATGGAAGCAAAGATTCAACAAAGTGCAATGTATATCCTCAAGGTGGTTCAGACAATACTCTCCAAGATGGTTCAGACAATACCATCCAAGATGGTTCAGACAATACCATCCAAGATGGTTCAAACAACACCCTCCAAGATGGTTCAAACAATACCCTCCAAGATGGTTCAAACAACACCCTCCAAGATGGCTCAAACAACACCCTCCAAGATGGTTCAAACAACACCCTCCAAGATGGTTCAAACAACACCCTCCAAGATGGTTCAAACAATACTCTCCAAGATGGCTCAAACAATACTCTCCAAAATGGTTCAAACAATACTCTCCAAGATGGCTCAAACAACACCCTCCAAAATGGTTCAAACAACACCCTCCAAGATGGCTCAAACAATACCCTCCAAGATGGTTCAAACAACACCCTCCAAAATGGTTCAAACAATACTCTCCAAGATGGCTCAAACAATACCCTCCAAAATGGTTCAAACAATACTCTCCAAGATGGCTCAAACAACACCCTCCAAAATGGTTCAAACAATACCATCCAAGATGGCTCAAACAATACCCTCCAAGATGGTTCAAACAATACTCTCCAAGATGGCTCAAACAACACCCTCCAAAATGGTTCAAACAACACCCTCCAAGATGGCTCAAACAATACCCTCCAAGATGGTTCAAACAATACTCTCCAAGATGGCTCAAACAACACCCTCCAAAATGGTTCAAACAACACCCTCCAAGATGACTCAAACAACACCCTCCAAGATGGTTCAAACAACACCCTCCAAGATGACTCAAACAACACCCTCCAAAATGGTTCAAACAACACCCTCCAAGATGACTCAAACAACACCCTCCAAGATGGTTCAAACAACACCCTCCAAGATGGTTCAAACAACACCCTCCAAGATGGTTCAAACAACACCCTCCAAGATGGTTCAAACAATACCCTCCAAGATGGTTCAAACAACACCCTCCAAGATGGTTCAAACAACACCCTCCAAGATGGTTCAAACAATACCCTCCAAGATGGTTCAAACAACACCCTCCAAGATGGTTCAAACAATACCCTCCAAGATGGTTCAAACAACACCCTCCAAGATGGTTCAAACAACACCCTCCAAGATGGTTCAAACAATACCCTCCAAGATGGTTCAAACAACACCCTCCAAGATGGTTCAAACAATACTCTCCAAGATGGTTCAAGCAACAATTACCAAGATTAAATAACAAACAAAGTTCTAAACATTTAAAACCATTAAAAACACTTACCTAACCCTGTCTCGGTAATTCTTGGCACTGACTGAAAAAAAACAAGAATTTTATATATATATTTTTTCTATATAATTTGGAACTTTAAAGATAAGGAAATATTAAATACATTGTGGGCCATATTTAAAGCATTCGGTTAACACTACATGGGAGGACATGGGAGTGAGAATACATGGGTGGTTATACACACTCATACAACACGCTGTATCACAATACAACAGCTATTCCAAGCACCGGGGGGGGGGATGGGGGGGGGAGGGGGGGGGAGAAGGGGGAGGGGGGGGGGGGGGGGGGTAGGGGGAGGGGGGGAGGGGGGGAGGGGGGGGAGGGGGATATATTCAAGGCAAATCTATGCATAAATTAACATATTTTTTCCTTATCACTACAATCTCATCTAACATATTTTAAATCTAGATTGTGATAGGTTAAAATTGTAACTGATATTAACCTAATACAAACTTGTATGAATACAGTCATAAATGAGATACATTTATCATCAATTTATCTTGATTTTCTCAAGTTAATCAAATTATCTCAATTTATCATCAACGATCCTTGGATTTACTTGCCTCGTTGCATCAATATTGGTTTAGCTATCGATGTTAAGATAGTGTTCATTATACGTCGTTAAACCAGTATTTCTAATATATTATTAAATGAACAAACCCACAAGGGCCGTGCCGGAGGTTCGAATGTACGTTTGAGAACATTCCAGACGCTAACTTAATCGACTTGAGTTCATTTGATGCATCAGGCTATTGTGTTTAATATATGTAATAATATAAAATATACTGTGTCTAATATATTATTTTTTGTGTGTATATCACGAAAATAAACACGTGATTAAAAATATGACAGTGTCAGACCACGGAGGAAAATTGAAACAGGAATTTCCTTAAGTACTTTCGTATATTAATACATCTTCAAAAGGAGTCAAACTGCTTCCAACTCCTTCTGAAGATGTATTAATATACGAAAGTACTTAAGGAAATTCCTGTTTCAATTTTCCTCCGTGGTCTGACACTGTTACATTATTCTTTATTTAAATTATAATTTAGATTTTTTTTAAAACGTCCAGGTCTTTGGCTGGAATTATACGAAGTATATAATTTTTTCTGGTAATTTTAGTAACATTATTCACCTGAATGGTGCCTAGAATGGTCAGGTAGAGAACGAGAGTTTGCCAAACAAGATAAACTCTGTATTTATTACAATATAAACATGTATTGTAGTTTCCTAAGCAAAATACAATGATAATAATACAGTAGGCTCCTTTCAAAAATTTTTAAAAACATAAAATTTTCTGTATCTGTGTAGAGAAAGTTTTATATTATGAGGAAAAGCGTAAATATTGGCACTTACCACAGTTGAGGTGAGGGTTTGGCTGGGGCCCGGGAGCTACAACAACACCCTGCTGCTGCTACCCGCAACACCGTAACACAACACTTAACGCACTTATTAATAGTTCACACACACTTAAGTCAGTAAAGGACACTTAACTTCACTTGAAATTCCCATAATGTTCACTTTACACGCGCGCAAGTTGATACTCTATTGTTTTTCTTGCTTCCAACCTAGCTTGTAAACAAGAGTCAAGTCACCCGCCACTACAACGCACTTTTGTTGATAAAGTTCACTTTTGTTGACGTCGTCACGTGCTCTGAGAGCAGGAGCGGTCAAGTGACGTGCGCTCCCCGTCACAGCAGAGAGGTAACTGACGAGCACTTGGTTATGTCCCATCTTGAAACGCCTCTAACAACCGCAAACTCCTGAGTAGTTGGGTAGTTTGGCCCCGCGGAGAGGGGGGGGGGAGCAGCTCCCAACCGCGACGCCGCCCCATCGTCAGAAGGGTGTGGTGACCAGTCGATCCTCCCACACAGGTCAATATAAACCCACAACTGGAGATAAGAGGCATGAGTAAATGGAACATTGTTGACCTATGCTGCCCAATAGGCTCAGCTTGAAGTGTCTTGAAATATTTGACCAAGACCCCTATCTTCTGTGTGAATAAAATATATAATTTTCACATCTTCTCTCATTCCCTATATCGAATATATTCTCCCTATATCGATATCTCCCTATATCGAATGCAAGATAGCCAAAATCGAAGCTTTTTTGGGAACATAAAGATTGTCGTTCTAATAATCTTTTTAAAGTCTTGCTGGACATGTCGGCAAGTTAATTATTAGCTGTGCAATTAACTCATTGTGTCAGGGGACAGGCAGCCAGTGTATATATAGGCATATTAGGCTTATACCAAGGGAGATTTTTATTGACTGCTTGACGTTTAGAAAACGGCGTTGAATAACGATATGGAGGTACAGAAAACGGTATTGAAGGGGGTAACTTGAGGCAGGATGATGATATATATATATATATATATATATATATATATATATATATATATATATATATATATATATATATATATATGTCGTACCTAGTAGCCAGAACGCACTTCTCAGCCTACTATGCAAGGCCCGATTTGCCTAATAAGCCAAGTTTTCATGAATTAATTGTTTTTCGACTACCTAACCTACCTAACCTAACCTAACCTAGCTTTTTCGGCTACCTAACCTAACCTAACCCATAAAGATAGGTTAGGTTAGGTTAGGTAGGGTTGGTTAGGTTCGGTCATATATCTACGTTAATTTTAACTCCAATAAAAAAAATTGACCTCATACATAATGAAATGGGTAGCTTTATCATTTCATAAGAAAAAAATTTGAGAAAATATATTAAGTCGGGAAAACTTGGCTTATTAGGCAAATCTGGCCCTGAA